AAAGGAACGCTCCCACATCACTGGTGGGAACGTACACGAGTGTAACCATTATGGGAATCAGTACAGTGATTCTTCAAGAAACCAGATGTAGAAATTCCGTTTGACCCAGCCATTCACCTCTGTCTTTCCCAAGGAGTCAAAGGCATCGTACGACAGTGACGTATGCAAAGCCACACTTATAGCAGTGTGACTCATAATAGTTAAGCCTCAGAAACCACCTACATGTCTGTCAACAGGTAAATGAATAAAGAACATGTGGCATTTACACGCAATGGAGCACTATTCCGCCATAAAGAAGGATAAACGTGCATCAAAGGCGGGAAAACGGATGCACGTTGAGACCATAATGTTAGCTGATATAAGTCAGACACACGAACTTCAGTATCACATGGCTTCTCTTACATGAGAAACTCAAGTAAAAATAAGGCGCAAAGTGAAAGACAGATAATAGGAAGATAATGAGGTCACCATGAACATACGCTCTAGATAGGGCCCAGGCAGACCCTGTCTAGTTTAAAATTCAGACTCCGCTACTTAGCAGATACTGAGTAATCTCACGGCTGCATAACTTCTCTAAGCCTCAATAGCTTCATCTATAAAATGGAAGTAAAAGGAGAAATTCCCTTTCGATGGGTTATGAGAGATTGTGAGGTGTCACATATGAATGTGTACCTAGTAGACATTTAATAGATGCACATCCTTTATTTTTTCATATAAAATCACTTTTCTGTTGACTTTATGATAAGATGATAAGAAATAAGATTAGCGTCTATACCTAGAAACAAAAGGCCAATTACTTTAAAATTATATATTGAAGGCTAAGACACATGTCATTTGCCAATTACTGACAGACTCTGAGTTTGCCCTGAAATACCACTATGCCATGATTTGGATTGGGGTGCTCTGAGGACCCCAGCTTGGTTGTCTCCTGGTCATAACTTAACTTTTGGTAATACTGCAAGGGAAGGAAAAACAATGAAGTAGAAAAAGAAAAGAAATGAAGAAAAGAAGAAGAGAGGGAGGTTTGTTTCCAGCCAGGTGTATGCCAATATCCACTTTCCTGGTGACTCGTCTGCAGCCGAGGGCAAGACGCTCCTTCTGCCCATTATTGTTCTGTCCCTCGGATCTTTCTGAACAGAAATGAGCATCAAGGAAAGGGCCAGGCTGCAGCTCAAGCCCAGAGCCCACATCCAGAGCAGGACGCATGGGTACCCAGAGAGCCCTGGGCCACACGCATGCCCACGAATGAAGGCAGCACACAGTCCTGCTGCTGCAGACGGCCTGCCAATGGGCTTCATTGCCCCTGTCCCTGCAGAATAGCACATCAGCCTGGCCCCACTGGAGGTCGGGAAACCACTGACATCTGCTCCCATCATCTCCACATCTAGCAATTTCCTGGAAAAGAAGAGCCTTTGTTTTCCTAAAAGCCCCAGCTTGTCACCATAAAAGATGATTTCGAGTCCAGTACACTGAGCTCCATTAGAACGGACATGCATTGGATACCACAGTCACGTCAAAGCAGCACAAATGGGGCTCGGGCTGGGCCTAGCAGCCTTTTATCAGCAAGCTCGCGTCCCTGAAGCACAGGCGGATGGTTACAAACCTATCTGATCCTAGGCCAGAGGACTTAAAGAGACTCATTTTAACTTCTGGTCGTGCCCGTTTCTGATTTCTGCCTCCATCTCGTCCTCATCACATGAGGATAGTCGCAAGTTTCCTTAAAGATTACTGCAGAGATAGAGCCAAGCAGAGTGTCCGGTGCTAGGACAGCACGAGCACAAGTGAGCCCCCAGTAAGCATGTGCTTCCAGCATCCCTGTTGTTATTGTTGGCTGCGTTAGACTCCTGCAAAAAGGCGTTTTTCTTTCTGCAAAGAATCACCTGGGTTAAATCATTCTTTTTTCTGAAAACAACCACATTTCTGGGCTTAGGATTTAAGCAATGAGTTGTCAACCAACACAAAACAATTCAGAGAGTGAATTATTCTGGGCTTGTTTTGCCTGGAGTGGCCCTAAAAGGTTCCCCTGTGCCCAAAGCTTATTGCAGATCGTTTATCAGAATCTTGCTGCATCTGCTCCCAAGCTCAGAGCTGTCAGCGCTCCAGCCCACCCGCTCACAACCTCCGAAGCGTCTCAGTTCCAAGCTCCAGGTCGAGCCCATTTGTCACCACAGCATAAAACATTCCAGCTTGCAGAGAAGGGATGCAATCTCTTTTCTAACAGTGGTGCTGCAGAGAAATCGGTAAGCTCTGTGTTACAGGCACATGTCGCTATACCAACACTTCACTTCTAGCAGTCTCAGCAGAAGAATAAGCAATCATTACAAAGTAATATCTAAACTCAGAGAAATTCTGAAGTGGGTAAGGAAGTTCTGTGTTTTAATTCTCCCCAAGTTTCACCAGGATACCACACAGTACCGAAACACTAACTCATTACAGTAGTTTAAGAGGCCAAAGAAGAGGATGGGCATGTTAGAAATAATCCCTGTAGCCTTTGGAACCATTAGGGTTGGGTACTTAGGGCAGCCCTATCCCTGCCTGGGAGAAGGCTTTTCCAGGCCTATCAGTATGCTGGGCAAATATTTTCATTTTCTATGTGTGTTATAATCTGAAAGAGTTTGAGGATCACTGTATATATTTTCTGCAGTTTCCTTAATTGTAGCACTGGTAAGATTAACCACTGGATGGCTTGTTATTGATACTAATATGTTCTTGAAAAACACGATACACATTCTTGATGTTCAAGCTCAGCCTTAAAGCCAAAGCCTTGTTAGGGTAAGCTTCATTTTCAAGGGACTACGCAAGGAAGGCTATCGCAAATGGGAGAGCTTTCACAAGGCCAGCAGAGGAGGCAGGGGTTCCCCAGGGCCAAAGACTGGGCCGGTTCAGAGAAAGGATATGGAAGCCAGCAACCTGAGAGACCTCAGTCATGTGAGAGGACTGGGTCTCCAGGACGATGCTCCGTGAACTGTCTCCCTTCCTCTCTCTCAGCCTCTGTGGATCTTTCCATGTCATTTCCTGCTGCAAACTCCCTGTACCATGCTGTACATCCCGGTTCAGATTCTGAAGAATAAGTGCCGGGGTGGCCCTAGCAGTCCCTGCCTGGGAAGAACCTCAGGCCTTCCTCTAAGAATGTCACAAAACTGCCATTTGACTGATCTTGGGGGAGACACCTACTTTACTGAAAGGAATGGGTGTCACAGAATCCAAAACTTGACTTTCAATAAGCTGTGATGGGCAGAACAATTCTTTTCAGATGGTTTCTTTTTTTTATTTCATGAAACATATTTTATTATTTTTGAAACATATTTTACTCTTATTAAAATATTTTCATCCAAAGCTTTTTTTTTTTAAGCAGGGTTTTTTTTTTTTTTTTTTTTTTTTTTTTTTGGTGGAACCAGGAATTGAGCTCAGACCCTTGCACTTCCCAGGCAAGCACTTATTCTATTGAGCCATCTCCCCAACCCCGGGATGGTTTCTAAATAGGGAGAATACAATATATCAGACTCACCCTCTTTCAAGAGCAAGTTTTTATATTTCCATTTAGGAAAAAAGACCATTTAAATGCATCTATTGTGTCATAAGTAAAGTATGGCAATGTCCTTCTCTTGTTCTTTATTTTCTTCTTTGCATCCATCAATCCATTGATCATTGAGCCATCCATCCATGTATCCATCTATCATCCACCCACTCAACATATATATATATATATATATATATATATATATATACCTTCGCTCTTCAAAAATGAGGTTTCCAATGACCACAGTAGTTCTCAAAGCCATAACCCTACGAAGGGGCCCTAAGTTGTGCGTGCAAGCCATGCTAAGCACCATAAAAACCCCATAAACAAAATATATTAGAAATTCAAAGGAGAGACATCTCAGTTCACTGGAGCAGGTGACATTTCTGCCGGGCCTGGAAGATGGGGGCGACTACAATTCACTCCTGATACAGGCAGCAAAATAAGCCTCGGCCTAAATTTAGCAGGATTTTGTAACAGAGACTTTGAGATTCTGGCATTGTAAACTGTGAGATAAATGTATAATTATTTCAAAAACTCACATGAAAATGAAAAGACATAGTATAAAAATTTATCTTTCATTAGCCTTCACTTACTCCTCTGAAAAACTGCCATTGCTTGTTTATTATGAATTTGTCCAGATATCTCCCCTTACTGTAAAATAAAATCAGTATGATTGTTTGACTACACAGATAATATTAATACCATTTTACTGAAATAAATGAACTATGTAGCCCCACACGCTGCAGCCTAGTAAGTGAAGGAGCTGCAATTTCAACCAAGCCCTGCTGCTGCCAAAGATCTGGATATTTCTGTGTGATCTGGGGAGATGGGCTGGTGGCTTGAATCACTGTCAAATGGCCCAGTGCAGTCCCAGGAATAGCTGTCATTTCTGGAGACCCATTTTGTCCTGGCCTGGAAGGAAGCCAGGGCGGGCTCTCACACACAACGTCTTTCCCATAGAATGTTGTGTGAATACTGAGATGGGTATTGGGCTCTCCCCAAACACTTTATTTATTTATTTATTAATTTTTTTTTTGGCCTTTTTGAGATAAGGTTTTACTATGCAGTTCAAGCTAGTCTTGAACCCACTTTGTAGCCCAGGCTGGCCTCAAATTTATAGTGATCCTCCTGCCTCAGCCTCTCAAATGTTGGGATTACAGGTATGCACCACCACACTCAGCCTTTTCATAAACTTTTGGGAGAAGCTCTTTTTCTTTTGTCTCCAACAGGAGATAAATTTTATTTTAATAATAGAGATAGATGAAGTGGCTGAAGATCTAAGAGGGGAAAATTGGACATGTCTCTCCTCTACAATATAACTTCAAATGAAGAACCAGTGACTAACTGACCCACTTGTTGGTGATGGAAAAGCCCACAGTTTACCTAAGCTTCTTCCCTCCCATCCAGAGAAAGTCCAAGGGAATGGGCCATCATGTGTAGGAGGGGACCTCAGGTGTGACAGTCGCAGGGCACTTACCCCAGACAGCCATGAACACAGCGAAGAAGACCGTGGCTCCGTTGTCAAAAAGGTGGGTCACCTGGAAATAGAAGGAGGACAGTTAGGCTAATTCGTGTGTGATGACGGTGACGTCGATTGTCAAGATCTGTAAAATGCTGCGGCGATGCAATCAGTTTCTCAGGGCGGCTCTTCGGTGAGCATTCCTCTCGGGCCCCCATCAGAAGGGATTCCTCCAGCTGGGAAGCGGGTCGGGAGCAGAAGGGAGAGTCAGAGGCCCCAGCGGCAGCGCTACGAATCCTGTTTGTGAGCGGCAGCGACCCACACATAGCTGTACACAGATACAGCTCTATGTAAGACCGGGGAGACATTGCTCAGAGGTCCCTAACTCCCACGGAGTTAGGAGTCTCTAACTCCCAGTTGTGAACCCCTCATTTATGCACCCTGGAAACATGGCTATTTCGTTTGTGGCTTCGAGCAGACATTTTCTGTGTTGCTCTCTGGACTCAGAATTATCAAGTCAGGAGACTGGAGCCATTAGCAGAGCGCACGCCCGCCCCTAGGAAGGCCCGGTACCCGCTGTACGCACGCACGGCGCATGGCCCAGGCGGGCAGCAGCCCCGGACCTCCAGAGTAACGCGCTCTGTTACAGACACTGCAGCGGAAGGTTGAAATATCTATTCTCACTGAAAATGCGTAAGTTTATCTCTGAGCCAAGTATGAATCACACCAAAGCCCATGCCAATCGAAGTGGTCCCTGATAGGTTCATAAATAAAGCATTATCCTTTTCTTGGACGTTTTACAGTTCTCTGTAAAATACATTTTATTGTCCCTCAGAGACGGTACCAAGTAAAAACTGGTCTTTCTCTGCTGTCTCAGAGTGTGCAATACTTCTGAATATTTCGGAAGTTCGTATCTTCTCCTTTGAACCTAGAAAAGGCACAGCATTCACACACCTAACCTGCGAGAAACCTCTGAAGTCGCTCATGCCTGCGCCGCAGGGAGCGGCGAGCTGCGCGATTGGTAGCCGCCTAACCCTAGCCCAGAGCTGGGCGCCCCGCGGGTGCTGTGTGCTCTCTGTCCGGGGAACCCGGTAACCGGCGGGGGACATTGCTACGGCATCGTCGTAGGGCCAGGGAGGGGCTGTGTTCTCGCTGTGCTTAGCCATCATCTCTCCTGCAGTCTCCTTTCTCCAGGCTACCACATCTCTCTTGTGCTGGCCCCAGCGAGCGTGGGATCAAAGCAGAACCATCACAGCGCTCCCCAGGGCCCTGTGTGGACCTTTGGAGAGAGACCATTTTCTGCAGCTAGCAATCTGGGGTGTGTAGTGACTAGGAAGAAGAACTTCCGGTCCCCAGCGGATGCTACGCTGATGGCCCCCTCTGCCAAAATCAACCACAGAGGCACAAGATGGTAGATTCCAGAGATTAACAAGAGCAAAACAAAGACCCTGTGAAGCCCCAGGGCAAATGGAAGGCTACGTGTCTCAGTTATCTTTCTCTCATTGCTGGGATAAAATACCTGACCCCCAAAGTCAAGGAAGAAAAGGTTTATTTAGCACACAGTGCAGGTTTCAGTCCATACTCGGCTGGCTCCAAGGCAGAGTGACACGTGGCACAGGGCAGCAGCTCATGGCGGCGGAAAACAGTGAAACAGCAAGAGTGAAAGGGAGGTGCAGAGGCAGAGAGCAAGCTTCTCTCCCTTCCTTCTATTGCACTCAGGCTATCCTCAGGTATAACACTCACATCCCAGCAGCACTCACACCAACAACCTTAGCATTGGGTTATGAATTAATCACAAACTCTGAAAGCTGCTTCATGACAGCACGAGGCTTTGGGGGGACACCTAGACACAAACCATAACACTACCTTAAATCAGTGTGTGCGTGCACATGTGGCCATGCGTGTGTGTTGGTGGTGGTGCTGGTGGTTGCAGATCCCAAGCAGGGTGAGAGCACAGATCAATCTGTAAACTCTGTTCTCTCCTCCCCATGATATGGTCCTTGGTCACTTAGCTTCTTATATACGAGAAATCAGCTACATTGAGCCATGCCACAGATGTTGGGGTCCATGGGTAACGTCAAGGGGACACTCTGTGTCGTGCCCAGTTGAGGCCTGGATAAAGCAGGCCCTGCCTGGCCAGCTGCCTGGGGCTTCCATGCCTTAGCTCATTCCCTCTTAAAAATGAGTTGACAGATTGTGGTCACTCAAGCAAAAGTGTCTTCTCCACTTCCCCTTTGTTTTAGGTAGGTTGAAAAATGAAATTTCAAGTGCCAGCCAGACAGCTCAGTGGACTAAAGCCCCTGCTATGTGTGTGGCTGGCAGAAGAGACTTTTTCCTCCAACCCTCTGTGCAACTTGGGAATTACTATACCACCTACCTCGACTGTGCTACAAGAAGTAGAAACTATACCTATAAGTTACTTAGCTATGAGTACAAGTGTAATCCAACTACTACAAAAATTATTTTTTCTGGCTCTCAGGTAGGTTAACTTCCAGTGGAAGGCCCTATAGATTCTTAATGTGTTACTCATGGTGATTTCTTTAAGGAATTGCAAACTCGAAGAAAGCATTTCACTTCAGGACATATTTTCCCATTAAAAACTAGAAAAGCAAAATATCTGAACTTCAAATCAACCAAAAAAAAAAAAAAATGGATTCTGTTTCTCTAAAGCAGAATTTCAAAACCTGAGTTGTCTGGGTTTATCTCACAACCTTTAAACAAAATTCTATTACAGACAAAACCCTCAGTCCTCACCAAATCGCTCTTTCTCAAGGCCACTGGTAAGTTTGTCCTCACGCACTCGGTCTGTCTGTCCGTTCTCCAAAGATAGGGAGAGCTGTTTGGTGCCTTCTTGGTCCCTTGTGACACACACCAAGAGCCCAGGCCTTTCTAAAGTCACAGCTGCCTGCTGCCCGCCCCCCCCCGCCCCCCCCCAGGCCACCTGCAGGGCTGAGGTGCCCTAGTGGGCAGGCTCCGAGGCTGTCCATCAAGTGTTCTCTCTTCAAATGAACGAGGCTGTTGGAAGCCAACAGCATAATTACACAGAACCAGGCTGCAGTAATCGCAGAGGTTCCGTGAAATCTGCCAGCTCCATTTATAGCTGGAATCTGGGCAAACGCATAGCGGTGGGGCTTGAAAAACATATTATCAACCCAGACTCCAGCTATTCGGCGTTGGTGATGTTGCCCCTAAACTAAAAGAAAAAGCACTCTACAACTGTGGTGATCACATTCAATATTTTAGTAAAGATATGCTGACAAAATCACATCTGCTAGAAATAACAGTGCCGTGGTTTTTACTTTTTTCCCAAAGCACTTTTACAGATTCTCTGTTCTTCAGCTACCACGATGGTGACCTGAGACAGAAAGGGGAGGGAAGGCCTGGAGTTTAGATACGAGGAAGGGCGCTCTCAGAAAGCCCGCATTGAGCAACGTCCGGGAGGCGAGCCCCGAACCTCTGCATCCAGATCCTGCCCATCGTGTGGACCAGGACGAAGCAACAGCGGCGTCACCGGCTGCCACCTTACTGCTTGCTCAGCCCTGTGCTCTGTCCACATTGGACCTCACTTTTTACAACCATCTCGTGAGACCAGCATCATGCGCTTCATCTTACAGCCAAAAAAAAAAAAAAAAGGGAGATGGGTAGGGAAGGCACGCTTATAATCCCAGCTCTTGGGAGGCTGAGGCAGGAGGATCGCCATGAGTTTGAGGCCAACTCAGGCTAAATAGTGAGGTCAAGACCAGCCTACACCATGTATTAAGACACTGTCTCAAAAAAGCAAAAGCAAAACAAAACAAAACAACAAAAACAATCTCAAAAGTCCCACAACCCCAGAACAAAAACCAAATGGCTCTGTGATTAAATAACTTGTTCTCAGACAAGTGCTAAAGACCCTAGTGCTGAAGACTCCAAACCTACGTCCAGCGTGAACACTGGGGAATGGGAGCGGGCTTCCTCCTGGAATTCCGCACCCAGGAGCAGTTTTTCTGCTGTGCACCGCCCGACAGTCTGGTGCACACTAAGCAGCCCTTCTCGGAATAATATTTTTAAATGTAAAAGATAAACTGCAGAGGATCACCAAAACCACGCGACACACTGGTTCTCACAGAACGCGAGAACATCCCTCAAGACCTGCGCAGTGACCCATGCAGCGTCAGCGATGAAAGTGAGCTGCTTTCACCAACAACGAAATGGTGAGCCTTTTTGTGACCCTTTCTTCCGATGATACCTGCAGCCACGGCTTTCTCTGCAGTAGTGTCCCGAGGGACAGCAGTAAGTCTGCGGTAGCCCTGAATTCACAGAGGGGATACAGCCGTGCACCACCCCGACAAAGGTCGTGCGTTACGTTCAATCCAGCCAGAACACTGCCTCTCTGGAATTACCTTGGCGTAGACACAGCTGTCAGATAGCCTCATGAACGGACAGTATTTGTCACACACGGGACACATGATGATGTCTGTAGCTTGGCAGACTTCTTTACTGGAAAGAAGAACAGATGAAGACCGCATTTTCGGGGACTTGGATCATTTCCTTCTCTGCAACTGTGTTGGAACGTTGGGCTGATAAGTAAGATCCAGTAGACCAAATTTTTGCTCTTAGGAGTTTCTTAGCTTTCTTTGTTATTAATGTAAATGAGTTCTTGTACATTTAAATACTTTGATAAGCCTACTTACTTATAAAGCTATTTCTTGGCTTTACATAATTTAAGCTCAGGAAAATACATGAAACAAAACATTTGCTATTGTATCTTAAATTATACAAAATCCTTCACAGCATTTCACAGGTCTGAAACAATTTCATAGAGAATTATGGAAACAGGATAACTAAAAATGTCTGCCTTGCTCCCTCTGTGCCTGATCAATTAAAAGTAAGAATGTAGGAATTAATAAAAATAGTGATTTTCGTTCTGGGGAAAAACCCCACATCTTATTGACAATTTCAGTCTCAGTACTCAGGAGGCCGAGGCAGGCGGATTACCACGAGTTCAAAGCCAGCCTGGGCTACATAGTAAGTTCAAGTCCAGCTGGAATTACAGAGCAAGTCTCGGTTCCAACTAAAAAAAATTCACCAGAAAATAAAATATTTTTTGTAGGCAGAGGCTCAATCCTAATTTTTATTTTTTGAGCCATTTATAAAGGGTACAAAGACTTTTAAGGTTGTGGTCCAGTTTTGCAATAAGATCTTTAGGAATATCTTAAAGTATATTTGGGTGAATATATTCAATTCTGGAGAACCGAGGGAAGAACTGTCACACTGACTTATCCGCAAGGCACTTGGTAAGATAGGCTTGTGGCCCAGGTTTGAAGAGTGCCTATAAAAACAGACTTTACAAAAAAGGCTGGTTAGTCAATGATTCTGCAAAATCTGACATTTGAGAAAGATGAAAAACCGAGAAAGAACAACTTTCAACCAGTGAGTGAAGGTGATTTGTCACATGGACGCAAAGAAGGTGTGGTCCTGGAAACGTAACTTCTGCTTCCTTGGTAGGTGAAGACCACAGCTTTAAGGGCAATGGAGAGAGACAGCTGTGAATTGGACTTAGACTTTCTGTCCTGAGGTTGCTAAGGAAGGTGGGGTGAAAAGCTAAGCGAGACCCCAGTCTGCGGACACCCCGAAGCACAAGCAGCCATCCCTATGCGAAGCAAAGGCAGGCTCCCTTGGGAGCTCCTGTACCTGACTTGGCAGTGGTCCAGGGTGGTGACACCATACAAAAAGACGAAGAGTCCAATGAAGGCAGCAGGGAAGAGCATGCCGGTGTACCAGCCCAGCCAGGCAAAATACAGCCCAATCTTCTCTCCAAAGTAGCGCCTGTTGGAGACAAGCACTTTGAACACACAGTGGCATATGAGGAGGTAGGCACTGGAGCACACTTCCTGCACTCCTGTGCTCTGTAGCAGCCTTGCTGGTGAGGGGAAGACAAGGTAGCCAGGAGTCAGGCACAGGGATCAAATCTGAACTTTGACTTCCAGTGTCTTCCTTATGACTTTCTATCCAAGGTAGAATTAGTCTTTCTATAAAAGAACATGATCAAACACAAGCTTTTCTGGACACAGAGTGGGGTGGAAAGGACAAGAGTGGGGAGAGGGAGGCTGAGTAGGGGGCTCTTCTTGTCACAACCCAGGCAGTGGGAGTGGCAGAGGAAATGCTAGGGTGTGCTTAGACTGGAGAGATCTGGAGGAAGTCAAATGAGCAGGACAAGAAATATTTACGAGATGAGGTTTCAGAGCTGCTCTCCAAGTGCATCGTGCTCCAGACTTGCTTACCCCTAATCACTGCCCTTCTTTCTGGCTCACCAAAAATCCAGCTGCTTTTCTAGGACTCAGCTCTATAGAAACTCCCTTGGGTGCGCTGGGCTACACCCACCCTTTGCATGTGTCTGAACTGTTGTAAAACCTACCACCTCTCTCACACATTTTACCTCTTCACGCAAGGGCGGGTGCTTTTTACTGGTTGTCTCAAGTATATGTGGCATGTTTTTCTGCAGGAAACTGATTTTCTCAATGCCGGAGACCATGGCTTTTGGTGTATCTGCCAACAGTACCAGCACAGTAGTTGAAATACAACAGGCAGTTAATGAACATGCATGGACAAACTACAGCATCACCTCGAAGCCCCACTGTGTGAATGGAGGCGGCGTGTCTGCGGCAGTGACCTAGGATTTCTAATCAATGTGATCCTGTAATGTGGGACTGATGCTGAAAAGACATTTGCTTTCTTTTTTTCCCCTCACTGTTTATCAAGCACTGGGTACTGCCAAAGGAAAGTGATTTCATCTCAGACAATGTTCTCTACTCACCCAGGTCATCTGGATCTTTTGTTATCTATACAAAGAGCAAAACATGATTCACCAGTGACTTTGCAACATCAGAGGATGCACTGGGTGACAAGAAACCAGGGCTCTGGCAGGAAAAAGGACTCCTTTGGGATGAAATCAAAAGTGATTTGTCTTTTTCTTCTCTTCTCTGGGCTCACTTCTTAGGGCCCAGGCACAAGAGAAACATAACCGGCTGGTGTAGGAAGTTAGACATGACTGTCCCTTTAAAGAGGACCCCGTGAAGTAGGGGCTGTCACTGCTCAACCTTCCCCTCCAGTCTAAATAAACAATAACATGCCAGAGGGCAGTGCTGCCATGCCAAGAGATTGGGCAGATGCAGACAGTTGAAAAAATACATTTGCACTGCACAAGTATCATAGGTTGAAAGCATGGACTCTTTGATTGGCAAATTAAAACAATCTTTAAAGGTTATTAGTTTTAAATTAGAATTAAAATAAGCCAGAAATGTGTTGGAATGACAGTACCTCATCTGTCTTATTTGTGTAATGTGGGATGAGAATTCGTTACCCAAAATGCTTGGGATCAGCAGCATTTCGAATTTCAGAGTTAAAAAAAAACTATTTGCAGTATCTACATACACATAAAGAAGTATCTTGTGGCTGGGACCCACGTCAAAATACAACATTCATCTATTTTCATCTACAATTTACCCACATAGCCCAGAGGTCGCTTTCTATAATATCTTTAGTTCACCTGCAGATTGACTTTGATCTGTCACATGGGCGTTAGGATTTTTGAAATTGTGGCATCAAATCAGCCCTCAAAAAGTGGAGAGTTTTGGAGCATTTTTGAGTTTTGGATTAGGGGGTTGTAAATAATATTTTGTTACGAGTGAATATAAATAATGTGCCCTTTCCCCAGGACATTCGTCACTGTCACATGGGTGACTTGTTCCTTATGGAGGCCTGGCTGATCTACTGGGTTCCTCCTAACCCTAACCCTAACCCTAACCCTAACCCTAACCCTAACCCTAACCCTAACTCTAATCCTAACCCTAACCCTAACCCTAACTCTAATCCTAACCATAATCCCAACCTTAAGGAAATGCCATCCCCATCAGAGAGGGTGGGTTTACCAAGGACACCAAAGTCCTCTGAGGAGCGCCTTCTCCGGGAAAAGCCAGATGAGGGCAGAGCTGGGCAGGTCACTGCTGTCCCCAGATGGCTTTGTACCTGCTGCAGATGTCACTTCGGCAGCTGGGTGAGCACTCACCTCACCAGATCCAGGGGCTGGTATTTGTACCACACGCCCCAGGAAGCCCAGCACTCATAGAGAAGATGTCGGTGGTTTACTGCTCCGTGTGTTCGGATGGAGTTTTTACTTCTGTAACTTCCCTGCAACAAAAACACCACTGCCAGTGAGGGAATACACAGAGAGCCGTAAGGAAGCACTGTGTCTTACATCAGGAGTCAGGAGAAAGGAGAAAAAGGGGTGCAAGTGGAGGCAGTCTGATTGGGGGTTTGGACATTGTCCTACTGACGGTACTACCTGATGAAGTGTGTGTGTTGCTTGCTAGAATCAGGCTCAAACTCAGCTCAAATTCAGTTCTGCTGGGGGACATCTTGGATGATGCCCCAGACACTCTTAGCTTGGGTTCCCTAATCCATCATGAAACTAATACTATTTGTCTCATTAACTTTCTCCTGTGGTTTGAATGCATGAAGTGTCTGGCACAGAGGCCATGCCCAACCCTGATTAGCTTTCCCCTACATTTCTCAAGAGAGGGTAGCTGGTTCCAGCGGCTGTGGCCAGAGAGTTATCGCATGATCTTATCAACAAGGTAATCCTAGAACATAAGAGCCAGAAGCCACCTCAAGACCTTCGTGTTTCAAATCTAATTCAACCTCCGCATTAAACAAATGAGGACACCAAGGGCCAGACAAGTGGGAGGTCAGATCCTGGCACTGCTGTTTCACAAACATAGAGGTACCTCTGGGAGGCAAGCTGGATGTTCCAGCTAACCCAGGAGTCCTTTCTCAAGGGAAAAAGCTAGAAAGAAAGAAACTCTGATGGTCTCAGCTCAACCGCCAATTCCCTGCGTGAGGCAGAGCAAAGTTAACCTTACTCTAACTGCTATTTAAAATTCCAGTACAACAACTCTAAAGGTTGTTTTGAGGTTAAGTAATACAATCAAGTTAAACTGAAAGTAAAATGTCAAGACAGCGAAGAGGTTATAACTGCTGCTGTCACCACTAATTTGGACATTCCCTTCACATAGATCCAAAGGTCTTGATGGGGAGATGAAAGCTGGAGAGAAGCCTGGGCGGCTCTGGGGGTTTTGCAGCTCTGTTCTATGCACCGACCACTCTGACACTGTCCTATATGGGCCAGCACTGAGCAGGAGTCCTTTTTCTAGACAATGATAACAAATAACTATCAGCAGCTACACCACCCTCTTCGGAGAAACCCTTCTTGACAGAGTTCAGCAATGTGTGTGTGTCTCCTAAAAACTTTTGGGTCAAAATGTTTACTTCTGTCAGACTCTAAGGAACATTCCAGAAATATCAGATGGTGGCCAGTAAGTCACACATCAGAACACAGTTTCCAGTATTCTTGATAAAAAAGCTGTGATGAATTCTGTCATGCCATTACTATTTTCTTGGTGTTTACAAATCAAGAGAAGAAATATTATAAGCCAAACAAAAATTAGGCTTTGGGAAAATTTTCCATTTGCAGAGAATGGGAGTTGTCCCCCAAAGTTTATGGGCAAACAGTTTCACCCTGGCTAGTTCGTGAGGTCCCAGATGGCAGGTGCTGTGCAAAGAACACAGTTATCTTTGCATTCTTTGTGTCACAGAGTAACTGTTAGAGAGTTGGGACTGGTCACCACAAAAATGACAATAATTATGAGGCTTATGCTCCTGCAAACCTACATGTATGATTCTGGGTTAAACCGAGCAAGATCAATAGGGGAAAATCAAGTTATGCACAGGGTGATGACAGTTACACTTATGAAAGTCATAATATATCATAAAGACCATGAAGTAAATGTCAACACTTACACATCTTACAATCATCAGTACAATAGTAGGAATTTCCATTTATCACCTTTTGGTTATTAGAAATTTGCCAAATAGCTTCCTCCCACTCTTTCAAGAATAACACTAAGTACATTTGTTGCAAAGAGTATCTATTTCAAGAATAGTGCTCCCTCATGCTGCTGCTTCAGACCTATCGTCAGTGTCTTTTTCACGACTTAGACACCGTGCCCACCTCCCCAGTTCTTCTGAATTCATGCTGGATGGCCTTGATTTAAATATTCTTTTGAGTATATTAAAAGATACAGAGAAACAAATCTGTGCTGAGGGAGAGATAGAAGAAGGCAAGCAGACTTTCCCTTAATACCCACTGAACAAATTAAATTCATTCTGAGCAAATGCCATATCAACAAATTCAACTGATGACTCTCTGTACCAGCTGGCTTTAGTAACAAGACATACAAGAATGCTGATAGGAAAGTACAGTACCTCGTGCAGGGGAAAAGCAGCTTCATAGGAGCCATTGGTAAGCAAGCGATTCAGACCTAAGGCAACAAATAAGCGCATCTGAATTAATACTGAGTTTGAGTCTTCACAACGCTCAGTGGGAGTGTAAGGGCTGTACTTTCTAGATAGACAACATAGGCTTCCACTAGTGATTCAACTCATGTAGGGACAGTAAGAGTTTCAAAATGCAGTTTTTCTCTCTGCTAGAACATTGGCATCCAGGGCTGGGAATTCAGGTTTTTCTTTTTTTTTTTTAAATTCAAGTTGTAAACTATGTAATTGTCAAAGATTGAATCGATTCAAAGCATACAATGTGATGAGTTGATATTCATATAATTACATCATGATTACCATAATGAAGTTAATTAATGCACCTGTTATGGGTTAGATGTAGAATGTGCCCCAAGGTCTCAAGTGTCCAGAAAGGGAGTTTTGGGAAGATGACTGGATCCTGGGGTGCTGATTCACCATAGATTCGCCCACTGATGGGGTCACAGCCTAGTGTGCTGTCGGAGGTGAGTTCCAATTGGAAGAGGCAGGTCGACCAGCAGGATTTCTTTTTTCCATGGCTGAATAATATCCACGGTGCATATGTATTTTAATTTACCATTTATTTGTTCACAGACACTTAAGTTGCTTCCTTAGCTTGGCTAATATAAATAACGCTTTTTAAAAATCTGACCTCTTTCAGCATAATCATTTTGAGATTCATCCATGGTGTGAATATCATGAGCCCATTTCTCTTTATTGCTACATACGATTCTGCGGTAGAGACATATACCAACTTGTTCATGGATTTTCCTCATGCTGGACATTTTGGTCGCTTCTACTTTAGGGTTGTTACAAATAAAGATGCTAATACTTAACGTATAAAGTTTTGCTGGACTACATGGCTTGTTTTATTTTTATTTTATTCTTTAGCAAATACATAGAGTGGAATATCTAGATTGTACAACAGGTGTGCATTTCACCTTTTGAGAAACTGTGGACTGTTTTCTTAAGGGGTTACACAATCTTACGTTTTCATGGTCAGTGTCCGACGACTCAGGTCCCTGCACCCCTCATCACCACGTGGTGTGGCCAGCCTTTCGCAGGAGGGCAGTGAGCTCTCCGTAGTTTCAGTTTGCACTTCCCTAATCAATAATGCTACCAAAGCCTCCCATGTGCTTGTTGGCCATTGGAATATCTTCTGTGAATCATCTGTTCAGGTTTTATGCCCAAAAAGAATTTGTTTATAACATTAAGTTTAGAGTTTTAATGCATGCTAGATATAAGAGCTGGACTAACATGCTTTGAAGACATTTCCTCTTGGTGCGTGGCTTCTCTTTGCATTCTCTTCCAAACTTTTTGTCAACTTCAAAGCTTTAATTTCGATTTTGTCCAACTTGTCTGTTTTTCTTTCATGAGTTGTGCTTTTAGTGTCATACCTGGGAAGTCCTCCACTGACTCAAGGCCACAAGCATTTTCTCCCATTTTCACTAACACTTTTATAATTTTAAGTTCTGCACTGTGATTCTTTTGAGTCGACATTTATGTAGGTCCACCAGAACTCACATTTTGCATATGGATATCAATCATTCCAGCATTGTGTTTTCAAAAGTAAAGCTTTTTGTTACTAGACATTCAACTAATTTGAAGATAATACCATGCAATACAGCTACCATTGTTGAATTCCAATTACTTTATTTAATGAAATTTTGCATAGCTTCTAATGCCTTTTGTTTTCTATTTCATATTCTTTAGAAAATGTCAAGTTTTTATCCTTTGAGTCTGTCAAAAAATACATTTTCATATGTATGTAGCTCCATCTCTGGGTATCTATCCTGTTCCATGATCCGTTTGAGCTTATGCTAGGGCAGCACTTCTTGATTACTACAAGTTTATAATAATTTGTGAAATCAAGTAGTAAGAGCCATTAACTGCTGTTCTTTTTCACAGTTGTTTTGGGTACTATGGTCCTTTCAGTTCTTTTGCATTTTTGAATTAGCTTGTCAATTTCTATGCACATGCAGAACATCTTTTTGGAGTCCGATGGTTTTGCATTGAATCTATATATCAAATTGGGAAGAAATGATATCTTAAAAATATTTTAAAAAGAATATTAAATCTTTTCATCTGCTAATGGGGTATATCTTTATATTTACTTAGCCCTTTTAAAATTTATTTGGCAGTGTTTTGGAGTTTTCAATGTACAGATCTTTCTTAAATATGTTTTGTCATTTTTCCTTCAGTATTTAATATTTTTTGCTGTTGTTATGAATGACATTGTTTATAAAATTCAAATTTTTTACTATTTACTGATTTTTTATAAAAATAAAATTAGTTTGGTTTACATCAGTCTTGCTTCCTGCGATCTAACTCATTTCATTTTTAGTTGTAGTGGCCTTTTTGTAGATTACATTGGAATATCTACATAAATGATCATGTCACCTGATAACACAATTGGTTTTACTTCTTTTTTAATACAAATGCTTCTTACTCTATTTTTTGTCTTATTTCGTTGTCCAGGAAAATGATGAACACAAGAGCAGAGATGCTGGTTTTGTTCATTATCTTAGAAGTAAAATATATCATTAAATATAATCTTAACTATAGTAAGCATTTTGTAAGTGCACTTTATGGGGTAGAGAAAGGTATTTGTAGTCTGTTAAGGTTTTATCAGGAATGGATACTGGACTTAAATCCATTTTCCCTGTGTACAGAAATGTTAATATCATTTTCCTTTTTCTGCTTGCTAGCATGGTCAGTCATACTGATTGTTCAGAGAGGAAACTGATCCTTTTCTTTTTTTTTTTTTTGGTTCTGGGGATTAAACCCTGGGCTTTGTGTGTGCAAGGCCAGAGCTCGACCACTGAGCCACACCCCCAGCCTGTGACCCTCTTTCCATGGGCTTGCAAGGCTCACCTTGAATAATCTCTCTTTCAAGGATTCAAAGTCAAACTGATTGAGGATCTCAGTTGCAGCTGCAAAATCCCTTCAACTTTATGTATCATAGTTCCAGGAGTATAATTCCTGGAACATGTATTATAGCATATAATTTCTGGAATTATATATAATAGTTCCAGGTATAATTGCCACTGTAGTATTCTGGTGGTGTGCGTATGTGGTGTGTGTGTGGGTAAGCCACAGGCCCCAACCACACTCAGGGAAAAGATGACACAAGGCCGTGGCTTCTTAGAGAGCCATTCTGTGGTGTGTGTACTGCAAGATTTGAGCATTTTATGATTTTTCCCCCAAAGAACCAGTTACTTGTTTCAGTGATTTTTCTCCTTCAATTAGCCATAATAGCATCTTGGATAACCTTCACTGGCTATGATACTGCTGCTGTGCAGAGCTTCTCCATTAGTTTTGCATTTATAGATTTCTGTTTTGATTTTCATTATTTTTAAGTTTAGATTTCAGTTCCTTTTCCAATTTCTTAAGCTGGTGATAAGATTATTAATTTGGGACATTTCTTTTTAATGTAGACATATCATGGGATGTATCTCTCTCCACTATTTACTGGTATTCCACACTTTTTGTTGTTGTTTTTCTGTTCATTCTTTTCAACATATTTTCCCTTTTAATTTCCTCTTTCCCCAGTTGCTTAGTAGTGCATTACTTCTTTGACATATATATGAACATATTTCCAGAATTGTTAGAATTTAATGCCACTATACTCAAATAACATATTCTTGATGGCCTGAATCCTTTTGGTTTGTCGCCCCCACCACCACCCCTGCCTGGTATGGGCTACTCTGTGGGCACTTGAAAAGAACAGCCAGAGCACTCTAGGGCCGGTGGGGCCAGGTTTATTGATAATGCTGTTTAGACCTTCTAAATCCAATTGAGTTTGTATTTACTTATTCTATCAATTATTGAGAAAGTGGTTAAAATTTCTGACTATAATTTTGGATTTGTGCATTTCTCCTTACATGTCTGTCAATTTTGGCTTCATGCAGTTTGAAATCCCACTGTTGGGTGCCTAGAGCAGCCGAGGCAAGATGGGTCAAAGTCAGAGTGGTGGCCACGGTCCTGGAGGTGGCAAGAAGGATGATGAGGATAAGAAAAAGAAATATGAACCTCCTGTACCAACTAGAGTGGGGAAAAAGAAGAAGAAAACAAAAGGACCAGATGCTGCCAGCACAGTGCCACTGGTGACACCTCACACTCAGTGCCGATTAAAACTACTCAAGTTAGAGAGAATTAAAGACTATCTTCTCATGAAGGAAGAATTTATTAGAAATCAGGAACAAATGAAACCATTAGAAGAAAAGCAAGAGGAGGAAAGGTCAAAGGTAGATGATCTGAGGGGGACCCCAATGTCAGTAGGAACCTTGGAAGAGATCATTGATGACAATCATGCCATCGTGTCTACATCTGTGGGCTCAGAACACTATGTCAGCATCCTTCATTTGTGGACAAGGATCTGCTGGAACCCGGCAGCTCAGTCCTACTCAATCACAAAGTGCATGCTGTGATTGGGGTACTGATGGATAACACAGATCCTTTGATCACAGTGATGAAGGTGGAAAAGGTCCCCCAGGAAACCTATGCTGACATTGGTGGGTTAGACAACCAAATCCAGAAAATAAAGGAATCTGTGAGCTTCCTCTCACCCACCCTGAATACTATGAAGAGATGGGTATAAAGCCCCCTAAGGGGGTCATTCTCTATGGTCTGCCTGGCACAGGTAAAACCTTGTTAGCCAAAGCAGTAGCAAATCAAACTTCAGCCACTTTCTTGAGAGTGGTTGGCTCTGAACTTATTCAGAAGTACCTGGGTGATGAGCTCAAACTTGTACGGGAATTATTTCGAGTTGCTGAAGAACATGCACCATCCATTGTGTTTACTGATGAAATTGACGCCATTGGGACCAAAAGATATGATTCAAACTCTGGAGGTGAGAGAGAAATTCAGCGAACTATGTTGGAACTGTTGAACCAGTTGGATGGATTTGACTCACGGGGAGACGTGAAAGTTATCATGGCCACAAACTGAATAGAAACTTTGGATCCAGCGCTGATTAGACCAGGGCGCATCGACAGGAAGATCGAGT